TCCACGGATCCTTAGACTGGGGGCAAATCGCTGACCTCTTGTTCTTTTTGCGGAGTCTGGGCTTCCAGCTGGGGATATCTTCAATGACGTTGTTGTCGAGGTTTACGCGATGTTTGAGTTTGACATGTGGTCTCAGAGGCACCCTGAGGTCTCCCTTGGGTCGCACGTCGACGACGACACGGTGGCGGCCTACGGCGACGAAGACACGATCGTAGCCACCTTAGTACGTGCAGGGATTGACCTCAAGAATGTCTTTGATCACAGGCTGAGCGTCCGCCTGGCGGAGGACGAGGCCATCACTTTCGCCTCTTCTCAGCGGCTCGCATCCCGTCTGTGCCGTCGTCTCCGCGCTGTCTATCCTCCGGCTGCGACCAGCGCGGCCGTCTCGCTGGGCACGGACCTGGCCCCAGGTCAACGGAGAACATGCAAAGGAGGTATGAGTAAGAGGAAGGAACTTTTCAGGATGATGAGGAAAAGGCACAGGCTGATTTCTCACTATCGTCGGAAACTTCCTCGGGATAATTCGAGAATGCAGAATATTTATATCGCTGGAGTGCGTCCTGTCGCTGGGTATGGTGCAGTGGTGCTAGGCATGTCGAACGCAGAGCTTCAATCTTTGCAGCGAGTATTGTTAGCAGGCAGAAGTCCAGCACATCGGGGGGGCTCTTTGACGGCCAAGTTGGTTTTGCACGGCGACCCTGCGTGGAAACAGTCGGTGGCGCCAGCCCACCAGTGGGCAACCAGTCTCTGGAGATCGATTACCACACCTTCCACTTCCCCTTTCTCCTTTCGGCAGCACATACAGATATGGAGGGATATTGTCGAGGGCCAGGAGCTTGATCTGGAACCCGCGGGCGGGAAAACATCGAAAGGTCCCATCCATAGAATGCTCTTATGTCTGCGCAGGATCGGCTGGAAAGCGGTAGGTTTCTCAGTGTGGCATGACGAGCGAGGTTATGTTATTGACCTGATGTACACATCGCCTGCCCTCCTCAATAAGCTGCTGGAAGAGGGGGTCCAGAGGATGCACGAGCGTAGGATGGCCCAGGCAACTCCGATGTTCACTACTTTTTCCCCGCGTCTCACCCGACCCCCTGAGACAAATGCTGCGCTCAAAGAAGCCCGATGGTCGGCAGAAGTTTTGGCTTTCTTCGTGTTTCTCTGGGGCCTGTTGGATTGCGGATCGGCTGAAATCCTCGGGGTACGTCTCGGATGGTTTGTGTCCGCTTTGGGGGGCCCGACTCCATAGTCCACAGGCAGTTTGTTTGCTCGGATCCGACCGTCGAAGCAGCACGCCGTGAGCATCTCTCAGATGAGGAGATACTAGCGGCACGCAACTGCTCGCCTGAAAGAATGCTGTTTTGGTATCGGCTGATGGTGGCTCAGCCTGAGGCGCCCCCCCTTGCCTCGAGCTTGATCCCCTGCTCCAAGGGCCGTCAGGCGAGCCACTATCGGTCGAAGAGTTTTGTGAGCGAACTGTCAACACCCGTATCGTTGTTGACGGCTCGGCTACTCAGTTTGTGTTTCGTGACCTGAATCGTGCCACGTATGCGGCCGTTTTCCTCGACTCGTCGAGCGAGACCCCGTATGAGGTTCGCGCTCGACTTCTTGGAACGGTTTGGCCTGGCCTTCCCCAGACGGCCCAGTCGGGAGAACACCTCGGGGCTGCTACTCTCTCCTGTGTGGCTACAGGCCTTAGCGCGGCCCACTCGGATTGCCTGGGAGTCGCTCACCTGGCTAATGCGCGCCTGTCCGCACAGTTGGACCCAGGCCATGTCTCCGCTGGACTTCGGAGGCGTGCACTCCAGGAGTCAGGCCAGCGTTGCATTGCTTCCTTTGCTCACACGCCAGCGCATCGGTCGGACGATGTGATAGCCGCGCTTCCCGCCCAGGAACGCAAGACCGCTCTTGGGAATCAGGATGCGGACCGTCTGGCTAAGTATGCTTTGTCTCTGCATCCCTCGCTACCAGGCGAGGAGCTGGACCAATTAGACAAGGATGTGGCCCCCCTGCGGAAGCTGGTGGCCATGTTCGGTGCAGTTTTGTCGCTTTTTTCCGAAACTCCAGTTTCAACGGGACCCCAGGGCCCCTAGGGTGAAAGCTCGGACCCTCCGTGCCATCGAGTGGCACGACTGGCTCGTTCTGGCCCCTGGGGATGAGGAGATCCCGTCGCTCTCCAGATGCTCGAAATGTTTCAAGACGGCCATCGGAGACACCCGACCCATGGACGGGTGCAAGGGTCTCCCCACGGCGCTACGTAAGTTGCAGGGCGCTGAGAGCGAGCGTGGCCACCTCCTGTGCACGACTTTTGTGCAGGATGACGAGTGCGCCCCGACTGTGTTCTGTTTCCGCTGCGGTGCCTTCACCAACAAGTGGTGCTATCTCCTCGGCGGGATGTGTGGACCACCTGGCCCTAGCGGGCGAGGCGCTTTGTCACGCATCCGTCGAGGTCTCCCGCCCCATTACAGGACTCGGGGCACTGTTGCTGCAATTGATGGCACCCCTTGTCGTGCCTCGGCCAAGTCTGTCCTGCTCAAGACAGCTGACCCTGGCCAGTCCTCCTCCTCCTCCTCTCGCTCGGGCCTGATTTCGACTCCTGGAATGTCGGCCCTGGCGGAGAGGCTTCGGCTGAGAGAGGAGGCATCTCATGCAGCAGGATCGGCCTGAGGCCGTTTGGTGATGTTCTGCCCAGGGGCCCTCGAGGGAAAAATCCTCCTCCTCCTCCTCCTCCTCCTCCTCCTCCTCCTCCTCCTCCTCCTCCTCCTCCTCCTCCTCCTCCTCCTCCTCCTCCTCCTCCCCCCCCCCCCCCCCCGCCTCCTCCTCCTCTCCCCCCCCTCCTCCTCCTCCTCCTCCTCCTCCTCCTCCTCCTCCTCCTCCTCCTCCTCATCCTCCTCCTGCTCCTCCTGCTCCTCCCGCTCCTCCTCCTCCTGGTCCTCCTCCTCCTCCTCCTCCTCCTCCTCCTCCTCCTCCTCCTCCTCCTCCTCTCCTCCTGCCTGCTCCTCCTCCTGCCCCCCCTGCTCCCCCCCCTCATGTTCCTCCTCCTCCTTCTCCTTCTCCTCCTCCTTCTCCTCCTCCTCCTCCTCCTCCTCCTCCTCCTCCTCCTCCTCCTCCTCCTCCCCTCCTCCTCCCCCTGCTCCTGCCTCCTCTTCCTTCTCCTCTTCCTCCTGCCTCCTCCGCCCCCTCCGCCTCCTCCTCCTCCCTCCTCCTCCTCCTCCTCCTCCTCCTCCTCCTTCCTCCTGCTCCTGCTCCTGCTCCTGCCTCCTCCCCCTCCTCCTGCTCCTCCTCCCTCTCCTCCTGCTGCTGCTGCTCCTCCTCCTCCTCCTCCCCCCTCCTCCTCCTCCTCCTCCTCGCTCCTCCTCCTCCTCCTCCTCCCTCCTGCCTCCTCCTCCTCCTGCTCTCCTCTCCTCCTGCCCCTCTCCTCCTCCTCATGCCCCTCCTCCTCCTCCTCCTCCTCCTCCTCCTCCTCCTCCTCCTCCTTCCCCTCCGCCCCCTCTCCTGTTTCTGCATCACCCCCTCCTCTCCAGACGGCCGGCGTGGTGAGTAATAAACATGGCGGGGGTGTTTCTCTCAGTGTTTGGCCTCCGGGGGGGGCCCTCGCTTGGCCCCGGGGCCGAAAGAAAACGGGTCGGGATGAAAAGCCGTTCCCAGGGAATATGTCCAGACTTCTGAAGGCCCCGTATTGAACAGATCAAGGCATCGGATCTCTGGTCCGTCTATGGGCCCCTCCTCTTCCATCCTCCCTGCTCCAATCCCTCCTCCATCCTCCTACTCCTTCCCCTTCCACTTCCCCCTCCATCCTCCTCCGCCCATCTGCCCCCCCCTCCTCTTCCGCCTGCTGCCTAGTCGGGCCATACCCCGACTGGTTGGACCACGTATGGGCCGCATCCCCGCCACCAGTCCTCCTCCTCCTCCTCCTCCTCCTCCTCCTCCTCCTCCTCCTCATCCGCCTCCTCCTCCTCCTCCTCCTCCTCCTCCTCCTCCTCCTCCTCCTCCTCCTCCTCCTCCTCCCCCTCCCCTGCCCACGAGCATCCAGGGCAGAGGGGGTAGGCCCCCGCCCCGTCCCGAGTGAGGCGGGATCAGCGGTGCAACCCTTCCACTCTGCAGGGTGGAGCGCCCGCCACCAGCGCAGCCAGCCCGGAACCCTGGGGTTTACTGTATTAGTGAATTGAATTGGTTTTAGGGTTTTAACAAATGGTCGCAGCCACGCAGAGGGCGTGCGCAGCGACGCCCCAAATGCTCGATCTCCAGTACTTCTTCGTGGCGGCGCCCCCGCAGGCACGCAGAGGGCACGCGTGGCGACGGGGGCGTCGCCACGCAGAGCTTCTAAAGACCAAACATATTGAAAACCAATTGTTCCTCCTACTAAAGTACCTCTTTTCCCATCTGCATGGAGCCGTTTTCTGATGAGGACCCATTCTTCGACGACGTGGCGGTGGTTGCCGTCTTCGTCATCATCGTCGTCGTCGCCGTCGTCGTCGTCGTCGGAGTCGTCGGAGTCATCGGAGTCGGAGTCGGAGTCGTCGGGGGGTTCGGAGTCATCGTCGTCGTCGGAATCGGAGCTGGAGCTGTAGCCAAAGTCGGAGTCGGAGTCGGAGTCCGATGAGGGCCGTACTGGACGGGGTGGTGGTTCTAAGCATATTGCCGGCAGAGGCTACTCCACTGCTCACAACAGCGAGGGTCGCCCGTGCCCCCTTTCTGCTGACGCTGAGCGGATAGAAGGAGGCAGTCTCGGAGAGGAGGGAGCGCCTGCACAGTTTGAAGACGATGCCATGGATGATGAAGAACACGACTACCACTTTCGAAGAAGAAACAACTGCATAAACATACACTTTTGGCGCTCCGAGCGGATTTCTTGGATCTGCGCTGGGCCTCCTTGGCGGCGCCTCCGGCGCTGCCACTGGCGTGTTCCGCGCGCCAGGGAAGGGGGGCCTGGCGCAGATCCAAGAAATCCGCGCGGAGCGCCTACAGTTATGTTTATGCAGTGTTTCTTCTATACCCAGGCCTCCACGACCACATCGATCCAAAGGAGACTGATACCTTGCATTTCGACGGCGACCTGCCGCAGTTTGATGGCTCTGACGCGGTGGCAGTCACCGAATTCCCCGAGGCTTGCAGCCCACTAGCGTTAAGTCGGGCCTGGCGCTCTACATACGGAATGCTCAAGAATAGTCAAACAATCGTATGGTGACGGTTCTTCTGTTATTTTGAACAATGTTGAATTTGTTTTGATTATCCTTTCTGTTTTTTCGAACATCCGCTTGTAGGAGGACATGCTCGTCTTAAACGCCAGCGCCGATCCCAGCGAACGATGTGGTCCCCCAAAGCTCCCTTCCAGCTTCGAATCCTCAGCGAGGTGATAGTTGTGAAAGTGATTGAAGCTTTCACTTTTGATGATGCTCTTGCCCTGGTCCAGGAGTCCAGGCCAATCTGGTGGCAAATACGGCCGCCTCTTCGAGTGGCCTCGCGGCCAGCCATGCCAGTGGTGGATTGGCGTCATCACAACTGCGTGACCGTGCCTGCTTGGTCAAAGACACGCTTCTCCAACGGGCTCGTGTGTGGGCGTGCGGGTTGCTCCCCACGGTTTTCCTCTCTGGGTCGGATTCCTTGGGCTGGAGGAAATGATGTACACGATATCGGGACGATGTGATGAGGTATACTATTTTCGAGGCTATCTTTGGTTATGCGGCTTGTCCTGGCTCCCACACGCGCAACCAGCTCGCGCAGGGTATTTGTGACGAAGCTTGGTACTTCTCTGCTGAGGCTCGCGACAATCCCAGATCACAAGTCACCAGCGCATGGCCTGGCAATGGGCTGGGCAGAAGTAACTTGGCCTGTGCTTCTGCTCGGGAAACGTGGGTATCCGATGCTGGCAGATGGATCCCTCTCGTATGTTGCCGTCTGCCAGGCAGCAATTATTCGAGGAGCGTCCTGCTTCCCAGAAGAATGACCCACTACCGCCCATCAGCCTCGCGAGAAGCAAGGTAGCGACCTCCAACAGGTCGAGGATAACGGTGTCACCAGCCGCATGTCCACCTCTCATGGTGCTTCTCTTGCCGAGCTAGATCGTGGTCGGTTTCCCTCACTGTCGGACGCGGACATCGATCGCAAGGAGGACGAGGGCGACATGTGTAAGGACGTGCACCACAACATCATCGGGGCATTGGCAGGCCGCGCCCAAGACACAACAGCTTATAACACTGTTCACCCGCTTCTCCTGGCCCGCTGCGTCCTGATGGGGCACCAGGTTGTGAATTGTTGGGTGGCACTCTACCTGCGGATGTTGATGTAACGGCCGAAGTTACTCAAGTCTTTGGGGCACTTGACGGGATTTTCTTTCCTGGTGCAGACGGTGTGGCGCCTCCCCCACCGCTTGTACTTGCTCAAAACACCCTCATCTGTTCGCCACCTATGTCGCCTTCTGTTGGGGACATGCCAGTCGAGCGTGGCGTTGGTGGCGTGTAGCATTCGGGCGATGAGTCCGCTTTCAACCTGGCTCTCAACAGTGTTGGCGCAGTTCTCATGCAGTGGAGTGCTCCGAGCGCGGCGGAGGTGGATCCGTGCCCGCTCGGTTCTGTCATGGCTTGTCCTTTTCGGCGCGTGATGGGCAAACCTCCTCCGCTTGGTCACTCGCGGAATGGCAATCAACATGCGTGGCAACTTGATGGGGTATCTTGATTCCCTGGCTGGGCAATGGTTCCCTACGACGGAGGGTGAGCGCTGGCAGGACACCGACGGCTGGAACGACACTTGCGCGTCACACTTAACAGCGGTTATCTTGGATCGGCCCTACTTAAGCAATCTTCTTACCTTGGTATCGCTCGGACGTGTGCACTTTTTCTCGGCGGGGATCATTCAGAAGAATTAGGGACCATCCTGCGAAACAACCACGCACGAAACCGATAAAAACACAGGGAATGGACGTCCGAGCGACAGGGAGTTACACGTGCTTCGCATGTGCCAAGCTCGGCTCCCAGCGCACAGGGGCTCAGGGCGCGGGGGTGTCTGCGAAGCCGCGTGGTCCAGGACGGCGCCTGCTTCGCGGCAGGCACGCGGCGGGCGTGGACGTGGCGGCAGGGGGCCAGCCGGAACCGAGCGGCAGTTCGTCGTATGGGCGCTCTGGCGGCGCATCCCTACCTCTACAGTGTGCCCAGATTAGTGGGTCGACCCTGCCATCTCAAGTGTACCCTTGCGTCCTGTGCCTCGCGACACGTTCCTTCTTGCACTCCTATGGTGATGTGGCCCTCGGACGGGTCTTGTGTCCTCTCGCGTGTCCTGTCCAATCAAGGCCGACTGTATCGCCTCGCGGATTATACCCAACTCGACTAAGTGGCCCTTCCCTGCCATCCGTCCTGTCGGCCACGGTGGCGAAAGACGGCGGCCCAGGTCCCAGTGCACAACAGGCGGAGGAAAACGTCGAAATGGAGTCAGATGGCAGCAGCCTGCTGGCGCCTAACGCCAGGTTGCTGCAGCGCCAAGTGGATCTCGCAACTACGGCCCCCATGGCGGGAGGGGGCCTCCCAGGGCAACGGGGTTCAACATGTCGTGTTATGGTGCGCAATATTCAGATGCACGCGGAGGTAGTTGATGATAGCTCCCTGCAGATAGATGCTACTGAGGACCGTTCCATGCACGCCTGGCCACATCTGCGACGACCGTGAATTTGTACAGCATATGCTTCTTAAGTCGAGCAGTCGATCCCCCGCTTCCTCTTGCCAGGACGGATATCCGGATGGCAGGCAGCACTGGGTGGATTGGTGCGTTCTTCACGAGAGCGCAGCCAGGGCAGCCTTTCTCTAACCACATCTTCGGCGCCATCCCAGACGGACTACTGCGAGCCACTTCAGTTGATTTCTCTGGAGATGAGCGCGGATATCTGGGTCAGTGGTGAGGGCAAGCGCGACGCCATGGTGGAGGAGCTGTCGGCCCTGTCCTCGTAGGAGCACGGGCAGCGGCGTCTGTGCTCAGAATGCCCGGGGGACTAGGGGGGCAGGGGGTCCAGACTCCGCGCCCCCACCGCAGTCTCATGACTTGGTGGCAGCTCCGTTTGCCCCAGTCTTCCCTGGCACCGATCACACAGACTATGAGCGCTGCATGCCAGCATTCCAGAGCTACGTCGTGCAGCCCACCCACGATGCATGTTGAAAATGATGCACCATCTTGACCAGAGCCCCTCCAAGTTCCTCGTCGACATCAACCGCGGCAGTCCGGACCGGTACGTCGCCAAGTTCTTTTCTTGCGACACGCAGGGCCAGTCGAACGCCCTCTCGAATTCTGCAGAAGGGGCACTTCCTGATGTCAGCAGCGGCGCGGTCGGAGCCCGCGCGCCTGTTTTTTCCCCAAGTACCTGATCGAGCCCTTCAGGCCCAGCTGGGCCCCCACTTTGCTCTGATGCCGGAACCACTGCAGTCCGACGCCTGCCCGATCCACGGGCCCACCCCCTCCGCGCAGCTCAACGTCTCCGACGGCGAGCACAAGTAGTATTGTGTCGGGCGTGTCCCCCATACAGGGGGATTTTCGACGAAAAACCACAAATACCCCAAACATAGTCCAAAAATTGTCTAAACATAGTCTGGGGACTATTTTTGAGTATTTGCTGGCCTTTTCGGTGATATTTTTTGGGGAATCTTTTCATTTGTCGTCGAAAATCCCCCTGCAGGGGGACACGCCCGACTTAAAAGCAGCACCCCGACCAGCTCAGCCTCGACTTTGGCGGGCCCTCGAGGGTCTGGCGCCCCGCCGCGGGGGGCGCGGCTCCAGCGGGGCGCCGGGGGAGCTCGAGCTCTCTCCGAGGCCGCTCGCGCCTCCTCGTCTCGCTTCCCGCCTCCTCGCTCTCTCCTCCCTCCTCCTCCTCCTCCTCCTCCTTCTCCTCCTCCTCCTCCTCCTCCTCCCCTCCTCCCCACCTCCTCCTCCTCCTCCTCCTCCTCCTCCTCCTCCTCCTCCTCCTCCTCCTCCTCCTCCTCCTCCTCCTCCTCCTCCTCCTCCTCCTCCCCCTCCCCTCCCCCTCCCCCTCCCCCTCCCCCTCCGTTTCCTCTACGCTTCGGTCGTCCAAGCATTCGTGCTTCGGGGAGGGCGGGCTGCATTACGCGACCGACCTGGGCTACACTGTGCGGTCGCCGGAGTGCCCCTTGTGCAAGTGTGAGTTCGACTATGCCCAGCACCGTCTCCAGGTGAGCGGCGGTCGCTGAAGATGGCCGGATCTCGTGGATCGGGTCGTTGTCGATGCTGCCTTCGCTGTAGATCCCACTTGTGCTCAGGAAGTTTCTCTGTTCACTAAGGGTCTTTGCGGGCATCCAGCGGACAAAGTTTCACGCTCGAGGCAAGAGGGAGGTGTCCAGATCCATGTTCGCGAGGCGATGCCACCTGATTCTAGGGGTCACCCGGGCCATGTGCAAGCATGTGTGCCCATGGAAGGTTCATGCGTGAGACACCCCATCAATAAATCATCTGGGGCCGCGTGGAGGTAAGTACATACGAACGATTGGGTTCAGGAGCTTTACTCCATCTGCGGCCGCGTGCTGGCTCCACCCCCCCAACCCTGCAAGCTAGAGAGTCCGGGGCCCTCGCCAGGGTTGCGCAAAATTTGTCTGGCCCAGGTGCATGCCAGTCCGATTGCAGCGGTGTTGAGAATTCCTGACAGTTCATTGTGCCGGCTTGGTTATCGCATCAACGAGCGCATGCGGGGACGATGCCAATCGCGCAGGCGCCCTTGCACCCTGCTGCCCGCAAAGTTGCAGCTCGTGTTACAGATTCGCCAGATTCTACGGAGCAGCCAAAGTTGGGAACGACGCGGCTAGTCTGGCTCATCAGCCTTTTTTTCCACGCGATGTTGCCGACATCGACCGTAGTATCAATATCGCTTAAGTTTTTTCTGGCGGCCCGACTCATGCCCCTGGGCCGTCGGGAGCGCGTGTCTGAATCCCAGCCCGATACGTCCGATCAGTGTTGCCATGGCTGGGAGTAGTGCTCCAGTTGCTGGCGTTGCAAAGTCTGTGGTTCATCAGTGAATACAGTTGTTGGCAGTGTTGCGGAGTTTCGCAGGCCACGTGAAGAAGTTTTGGTAAATCAGACCGACCGTCCAGGAAGAGGTGTTTTGGATTGCACTCGCCTGAGCTGAGAGAAAGAAGTGCCAGTGGCCATTGTCTTCTCTCGCTACAGTGTTCAGGCAGAGGCCCTCTATTCGTGTGCGTTCGTTGCAAGGCCTTCTCCACGCAGGGCCCGCGTGCAGCCATCCCACGAAAGGTAACGTTGCCATGAGGCTGGATTCCTGTCTTTTGCCAGGCCTTGAACTTTTGACAGCTTTTCACGACAATGCATCTGTAATGCTTCCTGGGGCGCTCCGGCCCCCACCCCGCCTAGTCCCCTCGCGTGGACTCTTGTACGCGGGCTTCGCTTCGCTTCGAAGCATCCTCGTCTCGAGGACGTGATGCTTGAAGGTTCACCCGTCGATGGAACTAGTTCGACAGGAACGGCCAGTGTTTTCTAACATCCTCCTCCCCTTCTTCCTCCTCATCCTCATCCTCCTGTCCCGCACCGCCTTGCGCAAGCCTTCGCCTCCTCCTCCTCCGTCTGCTCCCAGAGCGTCGTTCGTAGGACCCGCTCCAGAGGAGCTTCTGGTGCAGATGCAGGCGGTCGGACTCGTTCATGGGACCCGCTACATACATCTAAGCATCAACAATGTTCTATATGTCATCCACTCTTTCTCCCCCGTCCCTCTCCCCATGTCCTCCTTCCCTTCATCAGAGTCGCTGTCCTCCTTCATCCTCCTCCTCCCTGGTTCTTTCTCTGCCTCACCCCTCCTTCTCCTTCTTCCCCCCTTTCTCTTCCTCCCCTCCTCGTCCCCGCCTTCAGGGGTAACGTTCGGGAGTGAGCGACATCGATCCCCAATCGCCTGGTGGTCGCCGACATGGGCCTGATAGCCCACCCCGCCCAGGACTGTGCGGACTCTTTTTCGGGGGCCCATCGCCGAAGCAATGGCGATACAGCGCCGATTCCAGGTCGATAGTTCCCCTCTGATCCGGTTCCCCGATGCAACGTTCACCCCCACTCAGAGGGGGAGGAGAAGGAGGAGGAGCAGGAGGAGAGGAAGAGGATGAGGATGCAGATGATGATGATGATGATGATGATGATGATGATGATGATGATGATGATGATGATGATGATGCTGATGCTGATGCTGATGCTGATGATGATGATGATGATGATACTGATAATGATAATGATGACGATACTGATGATCTTGATGGTAATGATGATGACGATGATGGTGCTGTTCATGTTTATCATGATGATGATGGTGATGATGCTGCTGATGCTTATGAGGATGATGATGATGCTGATGATGATGCTGATGCTGCTGATGATGATGAGGATGATGATGATAATGATGACGATGCTGATGATGATGATGATGGTGATGATGATGACGATGATGATGCTGTTGATGTTTATGATGATGATGATGATGATGATGACGATGATGATGATGATGATGATGGTGATGATGCTGATTATGCGTATGAGGATGATGATGCTGATGCTGATGCTGATGCTGCTGATGATGATGATGATGCTGCTGCTGATGATGTTGATGATGATGATGCTTCTGCTGCTGATGATGATGATGATGATGATGTGGATGATGATGATGATGATGATGATGATGATGATGATGATGATGATGATGATGTTGATGATGATGATGATGATGATGATGATGATGATGATGATGATGATGATGATGATGCGGCTGATGCTGCTGCTGCTGCTGAGGAGGAGGAGGAAGAGGAGGAGGAGGAGGATGAGGAGGAGGAGGAGGAGGAGGAGGAGGAACCCTCACTCCACTCCTTCCCTGCCCGATGGAGGACGCTAGCAGCACCGCCTGTGCCCAGGGAGCCTGCTGCCGGGCATGCGGCGGCGATGGCCGTCTGCCTGCCCCGGGAGGTGCCGTCGGGCGGGGGTGGCGCTTCCTCGGTCGGGAGCGGAAAAGAGGGGGGTGATGACTAGGGGGGGGGGGATTTCATGGCGCGGGCCATGATTTTTCCTCAGATTTCATGGCGCCTCTTCTTATTTTATTACGTCCCAGGCCCCCCCGCTGGGCCGCGCACATGCCGCCGGTCAGATTTGCACCCCCCCCTCTTGGACACCCCCCTCTTGGCCGCTCCCGACTCGGGGTGCGGCAGGCCATGGCAGTGAGGGCACGGTGCCAGGCGTGCTCGCGGCGTGAACAGAGTTGCGGCGGAAGGTTTCGGGCCGTCTTCGGCCCGTGGGGGGCGCTCACCCGGCCCCGGAGCCGTCGACAGATCGACTCGGAGTGGGCAGCCCGCCCTGGGGGAGAAGGTAGTGTTTTGTGGGGGGCCCGAGTTGGAAAAGTCATCCTGACGAAGGACTCGACGATATGTAGTCGTGAGTACCGCGTTGTGGGCACCGCTTTCGGTGCTAATGGGGCAACGAAACGTGTGACGGGTGTGCCGAAATGGGCGGAGAACCGCATGTGGACCGTGCCACTGGGGCCTTCGGTGGAGCCCCCTTTGGGGCTCCGAAACGTGTGAGGGGTGTGCGAAATGGGCGGAGAACCGCATGTGGACCCTGCCACTTGGGCCTTCAGTGGGGCTATCTGTGGGCAACGAAACGTGTGAGGGGTGTGGCGAAATGGGAGGGGAACCGCATGTGAACCCTGCCACTGTGGCCTTCGGTGGAGCTCCCTATCGAGCCACGACGCGTCTGCGGGGTGTGCCGAAATGGGCGAGGAACCGCATGTGGACTTTGCCACCGGGGCGCCACGAAACGTGTGAGGGGTGTGCCGAAATGGGCGGGGAACCGCATGGGGAGTTTGCCACTGGGGCCTGCGGTGGAGCTTCCCATGGTGGCACGAAACGTGTGAGGGGTGTGCTCGAACCGGCGGGGAACCGCATGTGGACGTTGCCATTTGTTCGTTCGGTGGATCTTCCTGTGAGGCCGCGAAACGTGCGAGTGATGTTCCGAAATGGGCGGGGAACCGCATGTGAACTTTGCCACTGGGGCCGTCGGTGGAGCTCCATGTGGGGCCCCGAAACGTGTGACGGGTGTGGCAAAATGGGGGGGGAACCGCCTGTGGACTTTGCCAGTGGGACATTTGGTGGAGCTCCCGATATGGCCGCGAAACGTGTGAAGGGTGTGCCGAAATGGGCGGGGAACTGCACTGCCACTGAGGCCTTCTGTGGAGCTCTTCAGAAACTTGTGATGGGTGTGCCGAGATCTGACGGTGTGGAGGGCAGAGGCGGGGACGGGAGGAGGGAGGAGGGGTTGGAGGAGAGGAGGAGGAGGAACAGAGGATGAGGACGCGAGACGCTCTCTATTCAATCCAAGGACCCAACACCACAGGATGGTTGGGAATTGAGACGTCGGATGTCTGGGTTGCTCTGCCGACGCGAAGGCCGGTGCCACTGCGAGGTGTGCATCTCTGCCCGTTGGTGTACCCTCTCTCACTTCCTTCCTCTCCTCATCCGCTGCCCTATCGGCTCAGGTGTTGACGCTAAGGTTCTTTTCGCCTCAGAGAAGGAACCCTCTATCGGTTTCATCCTATGGATCTCTCACACGCTACCATGCTCGGCACATCCTCTGCCTGGCTCAGCCCTTCCAACGCCTGCCCGGATCCGGGAGTCTTGCATCCTTGCACTGTTGAGTCAGGTGAAGAGGAGGGGGAGGAAGAGGAGGAGGAGGAGGAGGAGGAGCAGCAGGAGGAGGAAAGAGAGAGGAAACAGGAGGAGGAGGAGGAGGAAGAGAAAGAGGGGGAGGAGGAGAAGAAGGCGGAAGATGAGGATAAGGTTGACAGGTGGCATGGCCTTGGGTTGTGGTTAAGGGCTCAGGCCCATGATTATTCTTTGTTGTGTGTTGTCGGGCTTTGACTGGAGGGTTGTGAAGCAGGGTACGTGGGGCTGTTCGCGCACTCAGAAGTACGGGCGCGAGGGGACGGAGGCGCCACAGGAAGGTATCCATCATGCGCCTCGGCGTTCGTTTGGCATGTGTTTTCACGTGTATAGTATCCAGTGCCCCCAGGGGACTATCGAACATGCGGCCAGCGCAGAGGGGGTGGTATCGAACAGGCGTCTGGCACCTTCGCGTTTGGCTGGGTTGTCACGTGCGTAGGCGTCAGGGGAGGGCGGAGTCGAGCATGCGACTGGCGGATCCTTCACACGTGAGAGTGGGTGCGCGGAGGGGGTGGTGTCGAGCATGCGTTTGGCACGTGTGCATGTGGCGCGTGCTGTCACGCGTGTACGCACCAGGGGGGGATCGAACATGCGGCTGGCGATATTCACGACGCGTACACATTGCGTACGCGGCGAGGGTCATGCTGAATTTGCGTCTGGCACGTGTGCATTCGGCCCGTGTCGTCACGTGTGTAGAAGACAGGGGGGGGGGGGCGAACATGCAGCGGGAGGGCTTGTCAGGCGTACATATACGTGGGCTTAAGGGGCTGGCGTCGAGTGTGCGTCTGGCAGGTGTACAATCGAACAGTGGCGTCACGCGTGTAGGCGCCAAACGGGGGGTTCGTTTTTGCGGCTGGCGGATTCGTTATGCTAGTATTGACTGTTTTAAACGCATGGGCTAGTCGGGGCTTCGAACATCCGTGGAAGATAACCATCGGCCAAGGGAAGTCAAACCATCGGTTAGGGAAGTACAGCGATCCACCAGGGCGAGACTGATTGAAACAAAGTGCGACAGTCTCACCGCATCCACATCTAAAGCGCCGCATCCTCAGCTACATCAGCGTTGTGCGCGTATATCACGTCCGCCTCCATCTCCCCCCGCCTGCTTGTCCTTCCGATCCCGCCGGCTCATTTTCTCCTCCCATCGTCGTCGTCGTCGCTCCGTCGTTTGCGGTCCGCCACGAGAGCGGTTCTCCTCCTTCCCATGCTCGCACTTCTTCCCCTCGCTTGGTTCTTGGGAGAAGTGTCCTGTCCACTGTTCCACCATCGCCTCCCGTTATTCTCGCTTGCGCTTACCCTTTATTGTTTCTTGTTTGTTCGTGCTAGCTCTGATGCGTGGGTAGTATTCTCGCTACTCGCTATTCGCATGTGTCTCATCGCATTCATCATACGCTTACGTTATACTCGGATCGCTTTACTCGTAACCTCACGGTTTTTCTCGTGTATATATGTTGCTCGTATTGTAAGGTGTTGCTTTGGCGTGTGCTCCCGTGGACGTTTACGTTCGAGCGTTCCTTGCGGCCCTTGGTGCCGTTAGATGTCCCTCGGTGTTGCTGCTCATTTCCAGCATATCCGAATTTCACGTATGGTATTGACACGCAACGCATGCGTTACGTATATTATTAGTTTGGCCAATTTGTCCGAAGCCCGCACCGCAGTGTACCCATCCATGTGGTATACGCAATAGGCGTGCAACGCGTGAGGCCCACAGTAGTCAGGAGCCCCGTCGCGTCACACAGCAGTGGCTCGTGCGCCAGCAGATATGCAACATACATGTGTAGGCGTCTCTATATGCATACTTACATCCAAAACACACACAGCTAACTTATAACACCTGTGTCGGTACTCGCGCCACCTCCTGATCTCAATTATTCGAGCGTCATGGCTGCGCTGCTCGCCGACGTGCTGGCCGCATCCCTCTCATCCTGCGTCTTGTCTTTGCCGTCCTCCCCATGCTCATTCTGCTCTTGCCTTCCGGTCCCGTCTCTATTTCCCCCTTTCTCGCTTTCCTCCCCTCCTTCCCGTACCGCTCTGCTGCTCCTCCTCCTCCTCCTGTTCTTTCCCCTCCTCTTCTCCCTTCTCTTCCTCCTCTGCAGCCGTCTTGGCCCAGGCCCTCCCGGACACAAGGTCGGCAGCGCGGATGGCCCTGCGGCGCGTCCTCTGCAGAGCGAGGCGCGTGCTGACGGGGGTCGTGATCGAGGAGCGATGGCTGCAGCAGGGGCTCCTTCGGGAGCAAATCATGGGAGCCTTGTGCACCCTCGTGATTCCGTCTTTGGAGTTCGCCAGCGTCCGCTAGCGTCTGGTAGCCGAGGTGGCGCCGAGCAGCTTCGACTTAGCGTCGATTCGTGTCGAATCGCAGCCTCCGACAAGATGGTGTTGGAGGCTCCCATGAGTTGCCACAGAAGGCTTTGGTTCAACCTGCTGACCACTCTGGGCAGTGTGCACTCCATGCTCTTCGCTGCCTTCCACATGGAGTTCTTCCTCCGGCGCGGCCTCACCGCGGTCCAGGTGGCCATGGTGCACTCGGTCTTCGTGTTCTGGAACCCGCTGAACGACATTGCCGCGGGCTTCCTGGCGGACGAGTGGGTCGCGCGGGGCTACGGCACGCGGCTGTCCCTGGTCGTGGGGGGACCAAGAGATCCCGATACCGCGACTCCCTGGGTTGCTCTGGGGGGCCCGCTCGAACCCGCATCTCGAGACGAGTCCGGCCGCGGCGGCCAGGGCTTCCCAGAAGGCCTCCTCCTCCTCCTCCTCCTCCTCCTCCTCCTCCTCCTCCTCCTCCTCCTCCCCCTCCTCCTGGTCCTCCTCCTTCTCCTCCTCCTCCTCCTCCTCCTCCTCCGCCTCTCCTCCTCCTCCTCCCTGGTCTCTTCCTCCTCCCCTCCTCCTCCTTCATCCTCCTCCTCCTCCTCCTCCTCCTCTCCTCCTCCTGGTCCTCCTCTCCTTCCTCCTCCTCCTCCTCCTCTCCTCCTCCTCCTCCTCTCCTCCTCCTCCTCCTCCTTCCTCCTCTCCTCTCCTCCTACCCTCCCTCCTCCTCCTCCTCCTCTCCTCCTCCTCCTCCTCCTCCTCCTCTTCCTCCTCCTCAGAACAGGGCGAAAACAAAGCGACGGTAGCGGTATCGGTCCGGTCGGACCGCGGTTGGAGGTGGGGGGGTGACATCGCAGTGGAACGGAGAGCCCCCCCTCCAGGAAATCGGTTCCGGCTTCGTGCTCGCGTCGTGCGTGCGGGCCAGGCGAAGCTGCGTGGGCGCAGAAGACGAATGATGCCGCTGTGGCTGGGGGCTTTAGAGCTGGTCGTCCGCCCCTTCCCCCACAGGCGCTCGGTGGCCAGGGTGTCACGTCGGTGGCCCGTCGGTGTCCCGTCGGTGACGCGGCGGTGTCCCGTCGGTGACGCGGCGGTGTCCCGTCGGTGGCGCAGGATGTCCCGTCGGTGGCGCGGCGGTGAGATCGATTGTGAGGTCGATTGCGAGATCGATTGTGGGAGCTGCTGTAAGATCGACAGTGAGACCTGTTGTGAGATGGATCGTGAGGCCTGTTGGCAGATCGATAGCGAGATCTGTTGTGAGCTCGATCGTGAGATCATTCGTGAGATCTGATATGGGATCGGCAGTGAGATCGAGTGTGAGATCGATTGAGAGATCGATTGAGAGGCCGATAGTGACATCGTTGGTGAGATCGACAGTGAGATCGATTGTGAGACCGACAGTGGGATCGATGGTGAGATCGCTCGTGCGATCTGTAATGGGATCGGCATTCTGATCGATTGTGACATCGATTGTGATACTGATAGTGAAAGCTGTTGTGCGATCGATAGTGCGATCGATTGGGAGATCAATACTGATATCTGATGTGAGATCGATAATGTCCAAAATCGGTTAAGACATGATGACCCTCCCCCTCCCCCCCCCCCCGGATCCCGACTGCCATTAATTCGCATCCGAATAACTATTGTTTTGCCTGTCCCCCCCTGGAAGAAATTCCATGGATGCCGATCGATGCCACTTGTATATACCTCGGTACCAGGGAGAATGCCGATGGGGATTGTCCCGTTTTCCGATCAGAGAATGATTTTTTACATGGGGTTTTCGCCATTGGGTTTTGGAATTCAGCATCGCTCCCGTGGTATAATATCTATCAGCAGTATGCCGCCGCGCGCGCGCGCGCGCGCGCGCGCGCGTTGGCGCTTGGCATTTGCGCATTCAGTGTCGTATATCCACATGGTGATGTTCCCGTCTTCCGATAAGAGAATGATTTTTTACATTGGGTTTTCGCCATTGGATTTTGGAGTTCAACATCGCTCCCGTCGTATCACATCTATCACCGGCATGCCGCCGCCGCGCGCGCGTTGGCGATTGGCATTTCTGCATTCAGCGTCGTATATCCACATGAGGATGTTCTGTCTTTCGATTAGAGAATGATTTTTTACATGGGGGTTTCGCCATTGGGTTTTGGAGTGCAACATCGCTCCCGTTGTGTCAAACCTATCAGCGGCATGCCGCCGCCGCGCGCGCTTGCTGGCGACTGGCATTTTTGCATTCAGTGTCGTCTATCCGCGTGGGGATGTTCCCGTCTTCCGATCAGAAGCATGAATGTTTACATTGGGTTTTCACCATTGGGCTTTGGAGATCAAATTTCGTCCCGTTGTTTAAAAATCTATCCGCGACATGCCGCCGCCGCGCGCGCGCGAAATTCCGCCCCGTTACATCAAATCTATCAGCGGCATGCCGCCGCCGCGTGCGCGCGCTGGCGCTTGGCATTTGTGCATTCAGTGTCGTATATCCACATGGGGATGTTCCTGCCTTCCGATCAGATAATGATTTTTCGCATTGGGTTTTCGCCATTGTGTTTTGGAGTTCGACATCGCTCCCGTTGCATCGAATCTAGCAGCGGCGTGCCGCATTTGCGTATTCAGTGCCGCTTCGCAACCCAGACAGGGCGCGCGGTGCGCAGGGAGTGGTCCCTGAACGCAGTCTCTATCCACGCTGGGGTCGCAGGGCGTGGCAGGCGTGGCCTGACGCCAAGAGGGGGTGCGCAGGAATCTGCCCCTGCACGCAGGGCGCCAGGGCGGTCGCGGGGACGTTTCCAGCGATCCAGTGTGCCCCGCCTCCCTCTTGTTTTCTATAGGCGCATTACAGCCCTGGGGAAAACAGTTTTCTGAATTGTCTCCCCAAACTATTTTTTGAACCGTTTCTATACATTAGGAGGATGTGTTGTCGGATCGATAAGGAGATCTGCTATGAGAGCGATCGCGAGATCGCTCGTAAGATCTATTTTAGGATCTCGGGGGTGGAGCGTGCCGGGGTCGAGAGAGAGGCCCCGTCTGCAATGGGCAGCTTACTTGCCCGCTGAGGCACTGTCCGTGGCGCACGACGACCCAGACACATTACATATTGTGTTGCAGAATCTTTCAGAATGGCGTGAGGTTGCAGCCCGACATTGTGCAATGTAGCATTATCATTTCTTGTTGGTTTCTGATTGCCCCGCCCCTCCCCGTCCTTCTACTTCCCCTCGCCCTTCTCCCTGCCCGCCATTTCGCTAAAATTGCGCAGCTCCCCCTTCGCACCTCGTTGGAAACAAATGCTGCAACGATGGTTCCCGAAACGCTGTGCAGTCTGGCGTTTTTTCTGCATGCCGGCGCGTGCGTGATCAGTGCTTCCGCTCTGTTTGCCAATGCGCCGACAGGGCGCGGCTTCTGTCTGTCTGCTTGCCAGTGGGATCGACTGTGAGATCGATTGCCAGATCGATTGTGAGGCCGATTGCGAGGCCGATCGTGAAATCGACGGCGAGATTCATTGTGAATCCATCGGGATATCGAAAATGAGATTTGTTGTAAGATCGACAGTGGGCCCAGATTTGAGATCGACTGTGTGTTCGATTGGCAGATCTATGTTGAGATCGATTGGGGGATCGATAGTGAGATTTGTGGTGAGATCGATCGTGCGATCGCTCGTGAGACCCATAGTGGGATCGACAATGACATCGATGCTGATATCGATTGCAAGATCGATAGTGGGAACTCTTTGTGCGATCGATAGTGAGATCGTCAGTGAGATCGATAGTGATATCGATATTGAGATCAATAGCGATATTTGTTGCCAGCTCGATAGTGGGATTTGTTGTGAGAGCGATCGCGAGACCGCTCGTGAAATGTATTTTGGGATCGACACTAAAACCGATTACGAGATCGATTGTGATACAGTGAGATCGATTGTGAGACCGACAGTGGGATCGATGCTGAGATCGATTCTGATATCGATTGTGAGATCGATAGTGGGAACTGTTGTGATGTTGATACTGGCATAATGTGAGATCGATTGTCAGTTTGATTGTCAGATCTGTGGTGAGATCGCTTGTGAGATCGATAGTGCGTCCAATTGTCGAATCGTTAGTGAGATAGATTGTGAGATCGATAGAGAGATCTGCCGTGAGATCGATAGAGACGTCGGTTGTGATATCGATCGTGAGATCAGCTGGGAGATCGAGAGTGTGATCTATGTGTGATCGATTGAATGAGACGTTGGTCCCGCCTCCCCCCCGAAGCTCCATATCACTCGAAGGCTGGTGGTACAGGTATAAGATGGAGGTCGGGTCGGGGAGGGTGCCCTAACGTTATTTAATCGCTTCGCTCATTCCGCCGGCCCGTATTTGTCCACGGCTGTCGAGTGCCCGTGTGATCGTTGTCAATGGGATGTTGCTGGGTCGTTTTTTTGTTTATGAATGGCTGGCTTTGGGTGATTTCGCAGGCGGGAACCATTCTTTGCCCGCCTGAACCTTCTGTTTCGGAAGGTGGCGGCTCGTGAATACGATCGCAGGGAACAAGACAACATTCTGCAGTTTCCTTTTTGCATTCTTCGGGCCCCTTGTCGCCTTGTGGGGCCTCTTAGGAGCCTCTTGGGGCGTCCAGGAGGCCTCTTGGAGCGGAAGGCTCGGATTCTCGGTTCGTGGTCTCCATCTCGGGCCTCTCTTGGAGCCCTCTTGGGGTCCTTTTGGACCGTCTTGGGCGCCTCTTGGGCTGCCGTGGGGCTCCCTTGGACGGTCGTGGGCCTCTCTTATAGGCCTCTTGGGCCGTCTTGGGGTGGTCTTGGAAGCTTCTTGGGCCGTCTTGGAGCGTCGGAAACGCGAAAAGGCGAGGAAGCCAAAAACCCAGAAAAACTCAATGGAAATCAATGATTTTGGCGCTCTGAGGCTTCGTGGACGTTCATTGGGATCTCGTTGGATGCCTCTCGAGGGCTTCTTGGAGACTCTCGGGAGTCGTTGTCGAGCCTCTTGGGGGTCTCTTTCGGGCCCCTTGTCGCCTTTTGGGGCCTCTTGGGGGCCTCTTGGAGCCTCCAGGAGGCCTCTTGGAGCGGAAGGCTCGGATTCTCGATTCGTGGTCTCCATGTTGGGCCCCTCTTGGGGCCCTCTTGGGATCCTTTTGGACCGTCTTGGGCGCCTCTTGGGCTGCCGTGGGGCTCTCTTGGGCGGTCTTGGGGCTTTCTTGGAGGCCTCTTGGGCCATCTTGGGGTGGTCTTGGAGGCTTCTTGGGCCGTCTTGGAGCGTCGGAAACGCGAAAAGGCGAGGAAGCCAAAAACCCAGAAAAACTCAATGGAAATCAATGATTTTGGCCTCGTGGGGCTCTCTTGGAAAGGGTCGGGGCTCTCTTGGGACGTCTTGGAAGCTTCTTGGGCCGTCTTGAGGCCGTGTTGGTTGTCTTGGGCCGATCGTTCGGTGATTCGGAACCCTCTTGGACCGTCTTGGAAGCCTGTCGGGGCCCTCTTGGCGCGCTCCGGGGAGCGTGGAAGGCCGCACCCAGGAGGAAAACCATCTCTGACCCGAGTTTGCCGGGAGTGTCCCGGGACCTTGCCGGGGTACTTTCCGGCCGGGGACCCCCAGGGGCCGCTCCGCGCGCGCGAAGTATAGAGTTATTGTTAACCAGGTACCGGAGATCTTAGCACGCCTCTGGCCCGTTGGGCCGGCGAATTCGTGCTTGTCGGGTGCTCTTGTGCATCCTGGGGGAGGGCGCCCTCGAGTGATCTTGTGGTTTGGGCTGTTTTGGTCGGCGGATGGATGGTCTCGTGTTCTCGAAGGATGTTCTCTTCTGGCCCAGGTCCGACCGCGCCCTTTTTCTTCCTCTGAGGTCGCGTGGGCGCACCTGGCCTGGGCGGCCAGCTCGCTGCTTGCCTTCCAGGAGCTGCCGTCGCTGCCCACGTGGCTGCACTATGCGGCCGCCATTGATGGGCAAGTTTTCCGCCACCACTACCACATGCAGGACGGGGGAGAAGGGAGGATGAGGAGGTCCTCCTCCTCCTCCTCCTCCTCCTCCTCCTCCTCTCCCTCTCCTACATGTGGTAGTGGTAGTGGCAAGTGGGCCCATCAGCCATCTTCGCCGCGGACGGCTTCGCGGCCATGGCCGGGGCGGTGCGCGGCTTGGTGCTCATCGAGCAGACGACGGCCGAGGCGCAGCGGATCCAGATCCAGCGCCTCAACTCCGTCTTCGGCTGCGCGGAGTGGCTGATCATGGCCGCCGCATACCTGCTGTGGGACGCGCGACCAGGCCACTCCCTCGGGCTCTGTTGCCAGAAGCCTGCGGCGCCCCGCGCGGATTCTTCGGATCCGCGCTCCGGGTCCCCCCCCGGCGGCGCCTCCGGCGCCGCCCCTGGCGCGCTCCGCGCGCCACTCTAGCCTACAAGACGGGGTGTCTATTTTCGCTTTCGTTTTCCGTGATACTGTTGCATAGTTTCTATTTCTAGTCGTGTCTATAAATCCGCGCTGCGCGCAATGTAAAACATATGGTTTTGTATCAGAAAAATAAACACGAATAGATACTTCTCTGAAATAGACACGAATTCATGGAAAATAGACACGAAAGTGAATCAAACATAGACACGAACGTCATAAATATACACGAGAATAGACACGGCTCATAAATAGACACGAATAGACATGATTAGACACGAATAGTCACGCGACGAATATACGCGCAAAAGGAGCCCGAAACAAATAGACACGGTGTGGCAAAAATAGACACGGCATACGGGGGGGAGTCGGGACGGGAGAATGTGGAATAACGTGGAGGATGGGATTGGAATTCAGCGGAGTTGAAAGGAGTGCAGAAGCAATGAGCATGATAGACGGGCGAATTGGGGGAAGCTGAGGAGAATCACAATTTGAAACGCTTTGGAATCACACGAGAGATCTAGGGGGAGCGCGGAGAGTGCGGAATCGTTGGGGGAAAAAACGCGGAGAAGATGAGGGGAGTGTGGAGGAGGAGCCGTGAACAGGAATGGGAGGGGGCGCGCGGCGTGCATTGGGGTGTTGATGAACCATGGGGTGGTAGAGCGAGCGCGGAAGAAAGCGGAAAAATGAGGCGGAGTGTGGGGGATCGCGGAAGAGCGGAGAGAGTGAGGATGAGCGAGGACTCGGAGGAACGCAGATGAGTTGGGAGGAGTGCGAATACGTGGGGAAGGATGTGAGGAGCCAGGAGGGGGTGCAGGGAGGAGGGCCCAAGACATTTGCGCGGAGCGCCAAAAGTTTATGTTTCTGGCGTCTTTTTCCCTACCTAGGCTCTGCCTAGAAGGGGTCTTACCCTGTATCTTAAAGGGGCCGGGCAGTGGAACCCGCCCTGGGCGGTTCCCCCGGCATCCGCCCCGCGGTTCCCCCAGTTGCGCCCCCTGGGTTCACCCAGCTTATCTAAACTAAGCTAAGCTAAGCTTAGCTTCGCTTAGCTTAGCTTAGCTTATCTCATCTTAGCTTAGCTTAACTTAGCTTAGCTTAGCTTAGCTTTGCCTAGCCTAGCTTAGCTTGGCTTAGCTTAGCTTATCTCATCTTAGCTTAGCTTAGCTTTGCTTAGCTTAGCCTAGCTCAGCTTCGCTTAGCTTAGCCTGGCTTAGCTGAGCTTAGCTTAGCTTAGCTCAGCGTAGCCTAACTTACCTTAGCTTACTTTAGCTTAGCATAGCTTAGCTTACCTTAGCTTAGCTTAGCGCAGCGCAGCGTGGCACAGCGCAGCATTAGCACATCATAGCATAGCCAAGCATAGCACAGCATAGCATAACATAGCTCAACAGAGCATATCATAGCACAGCATAGCATAGCATATTATATCGCAACACATCATATCATATCATATCATATCATAGCATAACGCAGCATAGCATAGTATAGCATAGCCTAGCATATCATAGCATGGCGCAGCATATCATAGACTAGCATAGCATAGCGCAGCATAGCATAACATAGCATAGCCTAGCATACCACAGCGCAGTCGAACGTACCCTAGCATAGCATAGCATAGCATAGCGCAGCATAGCGCAGCATAGCGCAGCATAGTGCAGCATAGCAAAGCATAGCATAGCATAGCATAGCATAGCATAGCGCAGCATAGCATAGCACTGCATAGCATGGCAGCAAAGCAAAGGCAAGTCAACAACAGCAACGACGCAGATGTAGATGCAGGTGCAAATGTAGATGCAGGCGTAGACGTAAATGCAGCTGTCGGCGTAATCATGCAGAGGTTGCTCTCCTGAATGCTCCAACTCCTGGGTAGGTTCGCACTGGGATGAGTTGGCTTCTTCTTCCGAGGCCACTCGGGGCTCTTCTCCGCCTACGTGGCCGCCGTGAGCGGCGGAGCCTCGCTGTCCACCCTGCTGGCCGTCCGGGGCCTGGGCGGGGGCCCGGCGCCGGCGGCCCCGCCGCCCGGCGACCCGCCGCGCGCCCCGGCCGCCCCCGCCCGCCGAGGCCCGCTGTGGGCGCGGCTGCGGCCCTTCCTGGCCACGGCGCTCCGCCACGCCAACTTCCGGCGCTTCGTGGCGGTCTGCGCGGTGCTGGAGGCCGAGGACGGGGGCACGAGCAGTGACACGTCAGAGTGAGGGGGCCGAGCGCCCATTCACTGTTCCCTGGGTGCGTGGCCGAAGTGGGATTCCGCGGTGCGGATTCTCGTTGTTGTTGTTTGTTGTTGTTTGTTTTTGTTTTGTTGTTGTTGTTTGTTGTCGTCGTCCCACCCGCAACCCGCCCCGCGACCCACCCGCTTCGTGGCGGTCTGCGCGGTGCTGGAGGCGGAGGATCAGCGAGCGAAGCACGGTATAAGATAAACTTTTTCGCTGTCGGGGTCGCCTGTCCCTGGGCGGCTGGAAAGTTTCTACCCCTACGGTGCCACCGTAGGGGTAGAAGCTTTCCAGCCGGCCAGGGACAGGCGCCCCCGACAGCGAAAAGGTTTATGTTATACCGTTCTTCGCCCGTGCAGAGGACAGGGGCGCGAACAGTGACGTGTAAACAAGAAAACCCGGAGGTCCGCGCGGAGTCCTCGAAGCGGCGCTGGAGCCCCCTGGCGGCGCCTCCGGCGCCGCCCCCGGCGCGCTCCGCGCGCCCGGGAGGGGGATATCCAGCACCGATCCGAGAAGCCCGCGCGGACCTCCGAGTTTTTATGCTTGTATGCCACTGCTCCCTCCCCTGGAGGAGGTCTTCTTCAGGCAGTTCGACGTGGTGCTGATCCCGGTGCTGCTGGCCTCGTGGCCCGCGGCCTCTCGCGTGCTGCTGGCCGTCTGCGACCCTCTGTGCGGCACGGTGGCCTTCCTGCTGACCTGGGTGGCCGAGCGGCCCGGCCTCGGGGTCTACGGCGTGAGCCGCGTGGCGCTGCGGATGCGCCTGCTGATCTGCCTCACGGCGGCGGCGGTGCTGGGGCTCAGCTCGGGCCGGGGGGAAGGGGGGGGATTGGGAAAGGGGGGGTTACGAAATCTGCTGCATGCAGCTGGTTTCGGCCCCACCGAGGGGCCCATTCCTCGATACATAGCCGCCTCCGTCGCCGGGAGGCGCCGGGAAAATCAGCTACGTGAGCTGATTCTCAAACCCCCCCTTTGCTATCCCCCCCTTTCGCCCAGCCCGATCAGCGGTGCCGCGGCCGGGGAGGAGCTCGAGGGCCCAGCCCAGACTCCCCACGCCACGAAGCTGTCATCACGCCACGAAGCTGTCATGGCGTGGACGCCGCGAGGTCTGGACCCCATCCCGGGGACCGGCTTCTCATCCTGAGCTGCGCTCCCCATAGACGGGGCGGCGGGGCGGCAACTCCAGGCATCATAGCAAAGCATCGCATAGCAGAGCAAAGCATTGCATAGCAAAGCATCACATAGCATCGCATAGCAAAGCTTCGCAAAGCATATCATCGCATTAGCAATAATGGTAGCATTCGGTAGCATTCATTGTAGCATTCATTAACATCCATAGCAATATCGCAATGCTTATTGTAACATCACAGCATACAATACCATACCAGACCCTGCTATAACATACCATATCATTGACTGCATGGTATAACCCCGTAGCGTAGCAGACCGTACCATATGATAGCATATTTGCATCATAATAGCATGGCATGGCAGAGAATGGCATAGCACCGCATCGTACCATAGCAGACTATAGCAGACCATACTACAACATAGCATAACAAGTTCATGGCATAGCATAGCGTACAAGCCAGTGCTCTGCCGCTCGCAGAGACGAGAAGATCGGGAGCAGGAGGGGGAGGGAGGAGGTCGTGGGGAGGAGGTGAAAGAGAAAAGGAGGAGGAGGAGGAGGAGGGGAGAGGAGGAGGAGGAGGAGGAGGAGAGGAGGAGGAGGAGGTGGAGAGGGCCCGTCGCCGTCGTCGTCGTCGCCGCCGGGGCCTCCTGGGGCAGATTTTCGAAGCGGACCCAGCCGTGGCCACGAGGGGCCTTGCCGGACGCCCAGAGAGGGCGACAAAAACGCCCGGATGTGACTTCGATGTCACATGACCGTCGTCGTCGCCGTCGCCGTCGCCGTCGCCGTCGCCGTCGTCGTCGTCGTCGTCTGTGATTTCTAAGGGACCCTGAAGTCACATCACCTTCGTCGTCGTCGTCGTCGTCGACGTTGCCGTCGCCGCCATCGTTGACCCCGCTGACGCCATTGCCTCCTCCTCCTCCTCCTGCTCCTCCTCCTCCTCCTCCTCCTCCTCCTCCTCCTCCCCCTCCCCCCCGGCCGCCCAGGCAGGCCCCGCCGGCCCCCAGGTCATCAGCGGCCTGCCTGGCCTGGCGGATGGCGCCCAGGCGGCAGCGGCCTGGCCCTCGACGCGGATGGCGCCCAGGCGCCCGGGCGGCACCGGCCTGCCCCTCGACGGCGGCCCCGGCTGGCGGATGGCGCCCAGGCGCCGGCGCCGCCTCGGGGCCGGGAGAGGCGAGGGCTAAGCTAGACAGGGGAGAAGGAGGAGGATGAGGAGGAAGGAGGAGGAGAGAGGAGGAAGAGGAGGAGGATCCCATTGGCGCCCATTTTTTAGCCCGTGGCATCGACCGCGGAGTGGGCGATCCACGCAGCTTCGAACTTCATCCTCAGACTCATTCTCACATCCTTCTGCTGCTGCTGCTGATGATGATGATCCTTCTCCCCCTCCTCCCCCCCCCTCCTTCTTCCTCCTCCTTCGGTCCTCGCAGCCTTCGACGACCCCTTCCGAGCCTCGGCCCTAGATCTCTCCCTCGACCCTACTTGGTAGGAGCGGGCTCCAAGGGTCGAGGT